CACTGGCTTCTAATATGAGAAATTAATCTCCTATTTTAATTTTAATTGGCTCGTTGTAAACAGTGCCTAACAAAGGACGATACCATAGGGTCAACAATATTAAAGATACGACACCCAAAACAGTTGCTATTTAAAAATAATAAGATTTATTGAAATATTAATTTCACGTACCGTTATGAATGTTTGAACAATTTTGATCAAATTTCTTTCTAATTTTTTTTTTTTTTTTTAACAGTCCTAGAAGTTTTTCATGCAATTTCTAAAATGAGAATTTACCGATTTTAAGATAGAGAAATGTTTATCGATGTGTCAAAATGGGATATACTATGGGTACAGTCCCCCAATAGCTTTACATTTGTCAATGTGGCCCACCGCATGAAAAGTTTCCCCACCCCTGCCAAAGCAGATGCATGCTAGTAAACAGATTCGCTGCGTTGTGACATCGCGAAAAGTAAAAGGTGATACGGCCTCGAACAGCCCCGTTCTTTATTCTTAAAAGAACACATCCTTTTTTTTTTCTTTTTTTTTAAATTAAATTATTTTTTCTCTTTCTTTTGCAAAAATTCACAGAATCAGAAACTTCTTTAAATAGTGTTTACTGTAAAAAAAAAATATATATATTTATTAGAAAATACATGTTTTCTTAAAATAGGTTTTTGAAATCAATTTCTTTTGCGTCTCGTACATGACCAGGTCTCTCTCATCAAGTACACGTGCCGCTACGGGTGCTCTCAATGTTCAGCATCCCATTCCTGTGTCATCTTTACTAAACCAGAACAATGAATAGATCTTTGGTCAGGTCCAAGCGAAACTTAACTGGTGTTACAAGGTCATGTTGTTGTTTGTTTGTTGTTGTTTTTTTGTTTTTTTTGGGGGGGTGGGTAATGAGGATCCTGAATGAGGCATTGAATCTTACTTCATTCGATGCTTTCTCTTGAGCCTCTTGTATGCGTTTGAATCGTATTTCATTCGATGCTTTCATATGAAGATCGTGTATGCTCCTGAATCGTATGTCACTGAATGCTGTGATATAGCATGTGAACAAATCCAATCGAATGCTATTCTGTATCTTTTGTTCACTTCCAATTGATTATGTTTTGGTGTTTTTTTTAAAGTGCTTCTGATGTAACAAAATGTTCACAAAAAAACCACCAAAAAACCCACCAATTACAAGCGTGTATCGTATGTTTCCTCCGCTACCTTTAATTGAATATCGTTTATGTGGATCCCGTTTATTGAGTCGGGAAGGTTCTCAAACTGTGACAAATTTTTACCATCAATGTCCACACCATTCAATTCACGATCTGAAAATTTTACGGAAATATTGGTTATAGAGGGAGGTAATCCATTAGTTACGAAAGAACCATCAGGCTGAAATTCGGGGTTATCTTCTCCTTGTACATGGAAATCTCCATTACTTTCGGAGGCCAGCTCCATGTCTGAACGTGTCCGCTTAGTCGGACCCAGGAAAACAGCCGGTGACCGGAAACCGGACAAGTGCGGGATAATGGCGGGGGCAAACGTGTGGTCACCGCCAGTGCCACCCAGTGTCAGGGGTGGCGCTTCCACAAACAGGGTCATGCGTCGACCCAACTGGACGAAAGGGGTGATCACGTGAGGTGTCGGGATGCTCGTGTTGTCCGCCCAAGGCAGGAGGGAAGCCTGGCCGAACACGAGAAATATGACGGCTCCGACCAGGGTCGCTGCCGACATGATGAGCCAAACCGTTGTCCACTCGCTCTGCGAATTCTGATGTAGAAGACATAAATATATCAACTATGGATGAATTTTAAAAAGTTGAAATTTTAACAAATTAAATGTGATTGTTGTTGCGCGCGTGTTGACCTAATTTTACTTCAAAGTAGAGCTAAAGCGTCAACCGTTCATCTCCCCACTTATTTTGTTTTCATTATTGACCCCCCCCCCCCCAACCAGCTTTTACCCCGCAGTTTTATTTCAACAACTACTTCAGAATAACAAAAGAAAATATTCCGTATAAAATTATTTTTTTTGTTTATCTCCCCCCTTTTTTTTTTTTCATTATTGCCCCCCCCCCCCCAACCAGCTTTTACACCGCAGATTTATTTCAACAACTACTTCAGAATAACAAAAGAAAATATTACGTATACAATTATTTTTTTTGTTTAAGAATCTCATTTTCGCAGTTATCAGGAATATTATTTCGTGAAATTAGTGGCATCATTTTATTTTTCATCTCCCCTTGACAAAAAATGTAGAAAACTGATTTTTTTTTTTTTTTTTTTTTTTTGGGGGGGGGGGGTGGGGGTTGGGAACGTGGGGCTCAAAAATTGACAAATGTGTTGTCATTGTCGACGTGTCTATGTGCCAAGTTTCAGCTTGATAGGTTGACTGGAATTCGGTCCGAAGATTTTTTTGCCCTAAACAAACAAGGTCGAAGTAAACGTAAAAGATTTATAAATCAAAAAATTTAAAGTGATCGAAAGATTCGATCCACAAACAAACAAAAAAGTGTATACAAACACGTTGATTATTTACCGTCGGTGTTAATGCAGCAACGATCAGGGGGGCAGGTATGGCCACAACCGACGCTATGGACATTGACATGCCAGAGATAAATCCTGCATACCTGAAAGAAATGCAGCGAAGACATCACGGTCAGTTCTATCTAAATGATGATTAAGTTCAGAAGATCAAATATTTGAGTTCAGATTATGATGGCCATGCACACAAGTAAGTACATCAATTAAGCTAATATTTTAATAGCTATGCACATCAATAAGTACAGCAATCCAGCTAATATTTTATGATAGCCATGCACATTAATAAGTAAAGCAATCCAGATAATATTTTATGATAGCCATGCATATCAATAAGTACAGCAATCCAGCTAATATTTTATGATAGCCATGCACATAAGTAAGCACATCAATCAAGCTAATATTTTATGATAGCCATGCACATCAATAAGTACATCAATCCATCTAATATTTTATGATAGCCAGGCACATCAATAAGAACAGCAATCCAGCTAATATTTTATGATAGCCATGCACATCAATAAGTACATCAATCCAGCTAATATTTTATGATAGCCAGTCACATCAATAAGTACATCAATCCAGCTAATATTTTATGATAGCCAGGCACATCAATAAGTACATCAATCCAGCTAATATTTTATGATAGCCATGCACATCAATAAGTACATCAATCCTGCTAATATTTTATGATAGCCATGCACATCAATAAGTACAGCAATCCAGCTAATATTTTTTGATAACCATGCACATCAATAAGTACATCAATCCAGCTAATATTTTATGATAGCCATGCACATCAATAAGTACATCAATCCAGCTAATATTTTATGATAGCCATGCACATCAATAAGTACATCAATCCAGCTAATATTTTATGATAGCCATGCACATCAATAAGCACATCAATCCAGCTAATATTTTCGAATCAATTAAAGGGTCCGAAAGGTGTATTCTTGCAATCTTCAAATGTAAATGTGTATGGCAATAGGAAGTTGCAACTTGCAACGTCTCATAACATAATCAAATCAAGACCGGATGTTAACATTACCTTGGCGCCATGTCCAGCACTAAAGCAGGCATCACGACGGCTGACACAGATTGAGAGACCATCGCGACGCACATGAGGGTCGCAGCCAGCGACCTGAGGTCAGAGGCTACGAAGGTGACAGCCACGAAAAAAACTCCGGCTATCGCTGAACCTGGTGAGATCCACAGATATTCAGTAAAAAAATAAGGAAATAATTAAATGCTAAGATCACATAGCATGATGCTGTGTATTGTTTCGACAAGCTAAAACGACTTTCACCCTTGTTAGATATTGAGGTAAATCAGAGCACTGTACGTGTTAAAATATAAATTGTTTCCTTTGAGCCAAAACGAAGGAAACTTCTAAATTATGTCTGAAGAGACATGCAGGAATGTATTAAACATTTAATTATGCTGGCAATAAATGTTAAGAATTCAAGGGCGGACACAAAATCTTACACATATATTCGTTTGAAACTTCCTAACGTCCCAAAGGAACATTCCAACGCTTCGTCTAGTATTCTAACCCTTTGGAAATGTTTGAACGCTCTCGGGGAAAGTCCTAACACCCCCCCAGATAGTGTTTTGACGCCCCAAGTAACTTTCTGACGCCCCTAAATGATGACTCGGCGCTTCGGTGAACGTCTCCACTAATCCACCACCGTGTTCAAACACAATGTCCTCTACCTGCTGTATAAATGATCTTTCTGCTTTTGTTAGTGGTCATCCCCGGTCTGGACATCAGCTTGTTCTCGACGATTGTCCAGAGAATGGCTCCCAAAAGACGACAAAATGACACACAAGAAACCAGTACACCTGTCTAGCGGGATTTTTTACAATAGCAGAATTATTACACTGAGAAATACATGTTCTCTACAAAACAATAGACATTTGGATTACAGACGTAAAGATCTACATTTTCTTTAAATTTAAAACAGTGAATGATTTGGTGCAATCAATTTGCTAGGCCAACTGTGTAACGGATGTATATATATTGTAGAATATACTAGGGCTATATACTAGATATACTAGGGCTATATACTAGATATACTAGGGCTATATACTAGATATACTAGGGCTATTATATACTAGATATACTAGGGCTATATACTAGATATACTAGGGCTATATACTAGATATACTAGGGCTTAATCGGGTGCATTTTTTACACCAGATCCGAGTATTTAAAAAAAAAAGAATTCCAAAAAACAAAAAGTTAACTTCTCATTTTTCTACATTATGCAATGACACAGAAGATAATGGAGTCGGTTAAGCACTGGATGACCATAAACAAGCTCAAATTTAATGATGATAAGACTGAGCTGCTCCCCATCGCGACCGCTCAGAAGCAAAAATCTGCAAATAACACGACATCCAGTACTCTCTCAGGTGTGCGTATTGAGTTAGCTCAAACAGTGCGGTACCTGGGTGTCTACCTAGATGGAAGACTAACTTTTGAAAGTCATATTAACATGCTATGCAAGGCGATTTTTCTGGAGCTGCGCAGGATTAGTCACATCAGGCCCTTCCTAACAATTGATGCAACAAAGAGGCTGATGTCTGCATTTGTGCTATCACGCATGGACTATTGCAATGCTCTCATGGTGGGTCTTCCAGCTACGCTCCTGGATAAAATTCAAATAGCACAGAATAATGCGGCTCGCATTGTTTATGGTGGGTCTTCCAGCTACGCTCCTGGATAAAATTCAAATAGCACAGAATAATGCGGCTCGCATTGTTCTCCGCAAACGCAAGTTCGACCATGCAAAAACACTTCTGAGAGAGCTGCACTGGCTGCCGGTGCGTGCTCGCATAGAGAACAAAATCGCAACTTTGTGCTACCGCTGCTTACATGACCTGGTGCCGTCCTATCTGAAAGAGCTGCTGACTCCTTATGTACCCACTGGAGAGCTCCGCTCATCCGATAGTGGCAAACTCTCGACACCACGTGATTGCCTTGAGACTTACGGAAAGCGCACTTTCGCATTTGCTGGTCCAACAATTTGGAACGCCCTTCCTGTCGATCTCAGAAACAACCAGACACTGGAGTCCTTTAAAACCGATTTAAAGACACATCTATTTCGCAAACACCTTCTGGGATGATTGTCAACCTTATTTTCTAGTTAATGCATAATGCCTGTGTTGCTCAGGGTTGAAATGGATAGAAATACTTTGCCATTGTATGCTTGTAATTAGTTTTTGTAGTGTTGCGTTTGTTTTAAATGTGGGAAATTATAGATTTGTATTTTGTTGTCTTCGTACCGCGCTTCGAGCCTTTGGGGATGAAGCGTGTTTTTGAAATGAACTTTATTATTATTATTAAAATCTACCGCCCCAATGGCGTAGTGAGAGTGCATTGCCGTCTTCAAAAGTTTTTTTGTGAAGAAATAACCTACTAATAGGAACAGGCAGTTGCCGGATCCCGAAATAGAGATGACTTTTGTACAAAAACAAATCGACAGAGAAGATAATGTCGATCATTTTTTATAATAAAGACTGTAAAGAAACAAAAGTCGCAATATAACGAAAATGGGCAATACCTTCCTGTACTAGGCTACGGAAAAGACTCGCATGGCACACAGACACCCGAAGTGAAAAAGGAGGGTCCAATGAAACCAGTTCTGAGGGGTGTGTGCAGCCCCAGAACACATTTGTGAGGAAAAAAAATCAGTGACATTTAAAAGAAAAAATCCTTTCTAAAGAAAAAGAAATCAGCCTCTTTATCAGAGTTCAGAGGTCACCTCGCTTCATGACAGCCTCTTTTCTATTAATTTAAAACATGTGGAGTTTGGGGGGGGGGAGGGCGGTTTGAAGAGGAAGCAGGACACACAAGAAGGAAAATTTTGATAAAAAGATCTATCTTCTTAAAAAATAAATCGTGTTTATGAAATCAACGCCAACGACCAGTGTTAGCTACCTCCTCGTACGTAAAGCCCAGCAGCCTCGAGAAGTACACGGGGATGTAAGTGTAGATGATCGTCAAGCTCCACACGTGCACGCTCGTGACGAAGAAGAGCGCGATCACCGGAACCGACGTCATTATGTCTCGGTACGGCGGCTGGTCTCGGCTTCCTGTCTGAGAGACTCACATGGGTGTAGGAATACGACAATGTCTAAAGCATGCTAGCGTGTTGCGTGGTGGAGATAGGAATGGAAAGGCCATTGGATTGTAAATAAATAAAACAAAAAAGGGATAAATTGATGGCAATTTCGTTATTTATACGAATTAAAAATGGATAATTGGATAATTTAAAAGTGGCCAGAGGGTGAATTTCATTTTGATACGCTTACCTGGATACGTTGTTTTGTGGGCATGGTTTTGTAGAGCAAATGGATAAAGAACGCAATCAATCAATTTGTTAAAGTAATAGCTCCCCCCCCCCACACACGGTACTTATCCCAAATGTAAAGTAGCATTTTTTGTTAAAACTATTGAGTGGTGAGTGAGTGCATGGACATGTATGTCATGGCCGTGATGCGAACCACTTCCAAAAGGACACAATGGCTTCATCTATTCTCACCCACCTTTTCCGCCCCAACGCTAAAACCACGTGTGGCGATGATGAAAGACTTCTCCTCGTCGGAAATCCAAGGATGGTCTTCGGGCTTCTGAGAAGTCATTATGTGCCATGCTAGAGTCCACAGTAGAATTATGGCCCCTGGAGTGACGAAACGTGAGAGTAAAGTTTACACGTTTCTTTTTTATGTCAGCAGTGGCGCATTTCTGGGATTAAATCTAAGTCATTGTTGTTGTTTTTTCTCCAAAATCTATGCAGAGATCTGTTCAACAGTAAATTCTACCCTGTCGATGCTTCTAAATGCATTTTATAAAAATGAATTCAAGTTTGGCATACCGTGTTCTTATATTTCTTTTAATTGCATTTAGTTTCGTATTTGTCAATAACTTTGCTTTAATCATTTCTTTGATTCGTATTATCCAGAGACTTAGAAATTATATGAAGAACACCAAAAAGATTTTTTAGTTGTTTTGCTTTCAAACAGCTCATTAGAAACTTTGTTTAAAGGGAAAAAAAAATGAAATTAGTGATATAACAACGTAAAAAAAAAATTAATTAAGTCAATATTCATTGAACTTAACATTATGAAAATTTTTGTAAAATATATGCACAGCATACTATCGATTTTTCCGAACGCCGATCATCAGAAACGGCGATTATCCAAACAGCCCTATTTTATCGTCCGCACTGCGCATGGCATGCAGTATTTTTTTTTTCAAATGCCGGCAAAGAAAGGCGTTCACACAGGAGGGAAGAAAGCAGTTGCTGCTAGTCTGAGTTTGGGAAACAAACCCCCCCCCCCCTCACAAAAATATATTTTTTTTTTTTAAAATGTGCCTTTTCCTTTTGCATTTCTCCTGGTTCCAAAATTTATATTATAACAATAATAGCAAGTCATAAAATAATTAAACATTTCTATTACACTTTTGTATTTGGGTTGGGGAAATTTTGAGACGTAAAATGGGGGAGGGGATAGAACTAAACCCTCTTAGTATAAAACGACAATTGTTACGACCACGCAGCCACTGCGAAAATGAACTTTAAGAATTCAAACCAAGTACTAAACTTTATTTTTTCGTAAAATATCACTTTTCACTTTGTAATTTTATTTGTTTGATAATAGGAAGAACTGAATTGTTGAGCTTTTAGTGAAAGGATAGTGGTTCGTTAACCCCATATTATTACTCAATAATCATCAATGTCTTAACATTTTTTTTTATTTTATCATTTAAAAAAAAAAATTTTTGTGATTGTAAATTTCTGTATTAATAATATGCACAGTGAGGTTCCAAATTCAACAGCACTACCTTGACTAAAATTGACCACGGTACATAAATGACCAGGTATAATGTCCAGGGTCGCAGGAGGGTTGGCTTACACCACTCTTTGGGAAGTGGGGGCAAAGACACCCTACCCGAAAATAATTCCAACTCATTTCGCACAATGCTTCGCAGGTCCCATTAAGTGCATATCCATATTTTTTCTGGAAAAAAAACAACCTTTTCGCAGCAAAAAAAAAACCCCAACAACAACAGCTTTTATATTAATCAGCTGCCCCGGAATGCACTGTGCGTTGTCGTTAATGCACTGTGCGCTGTCGTTAATGCACTGTGCGCTGTTGTTGATGCACTGTGCGCTGTTGTTAATGCACTGTACGCTGTTGTTAATGCACTGTGCGCTGTTGTTAATGCACTGTGCGCTGTCGTTAATGCACTGCTTAACTAAACACCTTTCGAGGAAATGAAAACGAATAGTCAACACTATCTTTTTTTTTTTATATATATATTTATCATTAACTTCCTTAAATCTACATTGCTGCGGAGTGTTCGATAATCCAATAATTTTCTGATCCGAAACAAATCCGCTCCCAGGCCATTCCGGAAATCGACTCCCCAGCAGCGTTTCCAAGACCTTTTTTTCGCGCCCCTGTAACCATTTTTTCCTCCTTCTTCCGGCGACCCATTAACTTTGCTTGTCGTGGCCCGGAAGCAGATTGTGACCCCAGGCTTTGAGAAACGCTCCTCTGCTCTAGATCCAGTAACCCGCAAACAAAGCTATAAGAAGGACAGTTTTACCGAAGACGTAGAAGACAAATGGCCAGCCGTTGTCAATGGGAACAGAACACAAAAAGCCAGCGATGAAGAAGGAGACGATGCCGGCCATATTGTACCCTGTGGCGAAAAAAAATAATTGAATAGTTAAACAGATTTCTCTCGAACTCTTCACATATTCAGTTCATTCATTCTAATGAATATTATTATTTACATGTTTCAGTTCGCTGAAGGAGGCGTTCTGTCTGTACGTCTGATGATGCGATGTGGGTTTGTTTGTTTTGTTTGTTTTTTGTTTTTTTTTTTGTTTTTTTTGTTTGGGGGGGGGGGGGGTTCAGGGTGTTCCCCCTACTTGTGCTATTTATTTCCTACATGTTAAGAGTTTGCATTGGACTTTCATCGTTGTACATTTATAACCGGAGTCGTCTTCAAATACAACGAATTGAAACGACTCCACACCAAAAAAGAAAATAAAGTAAAACTGACAAGGGCTTGCTTAGAAGTATTTTTATTTATGTATTTTTGCATTGTTGTTCCTCTTTTGTTTATACATTTTTAAGGCATATTTTTTTGTGTTAAATTCCACTGTGTCAGTGTTATCAGCACTTGACTAAAACAAACGTTTACCATTCTACTACCATCTTTATTCCTCCCACCCCCCCCCCCCCCCCCCCCCCCCCACAACCAGCAAAAAGCTTCATTTTAATAACGCATAGCTGTTTGAGTACGATCTAAATTTAGTTGGTTTAGGTCTTGACGAAAAAAGTTGATGAGCAATATGTATTCCGTTAAAAATTAAATTCTATAACAACTGATAAAAGATTTTAAATAAAATGAGAATAATCAGATCCACTAGGATTATTGTTATTGAAATTTGAGTGTACAAGTAAAAAGGTCATTGAATTATTTTTTTAAATTAATTTTCTTTTTAAAATTAAGCAAGGTGATACATAATTTTGAAAAAATAAATTATGTGAAAATTTATGCTGACCAGAGGTTCACAAAATGCACGGCGTAGGGAACTTCGATTTCCTCACTAGGGTGCAGTGGTACTAAATACAATTTCTTATCAAATTCGTTATTTCTCAGTGCTCTTGTTAAACTTGACATAGGGTGTCTTGGTCAACCTGGATGCACCAAGGGCCACATTATTTGAAACAAATGTTTGGGAACCTCTGGTTTGGGTTATACGGACTTGGCTCCACAAGGAAATTTTAAAATATATATATATATATATATATATATTTACCACAATAGGTCAATGTTGTAGCGGTCAGCTTCTCAGACACCGGAGTCCACCAGACAATAGTATCAGCAACAATAGGCGTGTTCCCTTCCTTTGAGAAACAAATCAAATCACAAACTTCATGCATACACACACAACATTTATGGGTATTGCCACAGATGGCTGTTGAAGTGTTGATATAGGTGGCGGTCGGAGTGTTGTTATGGGTAGGAATTGGAGTTATGATATTGGATGGGAAATTGGAGTGTTGATATTGTGAAGAATCGGAATGTTGATATAGGTTGTAATTGTGGTGTTGATAGAGGTGGCAGCTGGGGTGTTTATATAGGTAGAAATTTGAGTGTGGTATAGTTGGGAATCGACATGTTGATAAAGGATGTAATAATGGAGTGTTGAAATAAGTGGGGATCGGAGTGATGGTGGGGATTGGAGTGATGGTGGGAATCGGAGTGATGGTGGGAATTGGAGTGATGGTGGGAATTGGAGTGATGGTGGGAATCGGAGTGATGGTGGGAATTGGAGTGATGATGGGCATTGGAGTGATGGTGGTAATCGGAGTGATGGTAGCTCTTGGAGTGATGGTGGGAATTGGAATGATGGTGGGAATTGGAGTGATGCTGGGAATTTGAGTGATGTTGGGAATTGGGGTGATGGTGGGAATTTGAGTGATGGTGGGAATTGGAGTAATGGTTGGAATTGGAGTTATGGTGGGAATTGGAGTGATGCTGTGAATTGGAGTGATGGTGGGAATAGGAGTAAACGTGGGAATTGGAGTGATGGTGGGAATACCAGTAAACTTGGGAGTTGGAGTGATGGTGGGAACTGGAGTGATGGTGGGAATTGGAGCTATGGTGGGAATTAGAGAAGAGGGGAAATGGCGTGAAGAAGCAAGAACTTTATTTTAAATGGAAGAGATTTCATGAGCATATCTTCTTACTTTGTACGCCACTACACATTAAGCCTAAACTAGGCACCCATCATGGTTCCAAGCAAAGTAGATGCCCCACAGAATGCTAGCCCCATGTTGGCCATTGCCCAAAGAGTCGACCACAAACCAGCAACAACAATGAACGACTGGGGGGTGGGGTTGGGGTGTGGGGTTGGCAAACGTAGTTGGGGTCTCTTAAACTACTCACCGTGGCAACTCCCGAGACGACCCTGAGCCCGACCAGAACAGCCGGTCCTATGCGAGCAGCCAGGGGAGATAGCAGGGTCGCCACCGCAGAGCCGATGGTCAGCAGGGTGAGCGTCCACTTGTTGCCGAGGTAGCCGCGGAGTGTGTCTGTGAACAGCGGGCCGACCCACGACGTGAACGAGATGGCGGACAGGACAAGCCCCACGGTGTTGGAGTCCCAGTCAAACTCGAAATCATCAATCTGTTACATATTCAGCAAATATATATTTTTTTAAAATTTACTCTTCAACTTTCATATTGTCAGAATTGTAATAATCTCTATTTTGACTCAAGTGAATCGAATGAGATGACTGAAATTGTGTGATTTAAAGTCATAAGAATTGTGAAAATGTAACGGTACATACACGCAAATTTTACACGCATCAACAAATACATTTTAAAAAAAAAATCAGAATATTTGAAATGCTGTCAAATATTTGACAAGCCAGAACTGTGCAGTACAGTTTGAAATAAGACAGTCTAAGATTCTGAAAAAAAAACAACAAAAAAAAAACACAAAAAAAAATACATGGGGAAAACATTGCCCGAATAATGACATCAGTGAATGATGACATCACTGAATAATGACATCATGAATAATGGCAGCAGTGAATAATGGCAGCAGACTCTTGACATGATGGCATCGTGTCAGTTTACTAATAAATCGCCTAGCTCAAGCAGCCACATTTTACCGCCAAACCCATGGTTATACTCTACATTCCACTGTTACGCACCGTTAAGTTTTGGAACATTTGTTATGTGTTAATGCTTGGCTGTTAGAAGAAGCAATACGCAACAAAGGACTGAGAAAACGGCATGCAAAGAAAATGATACCAACGCTAGTGATACTAATGATATGTTTTTATAGCTATACAAATACATTTCTATACAAATACAAAATTTGAGTATAGAAGCAATAACCTGTATCAACTTACAGCAAGTAGAGACGGTGCGCTACTCAAAATGCATATTAATTTACACGCACACAATTATATAATGGTTCGTATGGGAAAATTCTCTCGTTCGCTCTTTCCATCTGTTTCGCTCTGTCTATCTGTTATGGCACCTGGTGGGCTTCATATTGGCATTAAATTCGAACGCTCTAATGGTGAAATGCTAGAGATCACTTCCCCTAACGGAATTCTTGTGAACAGATTGTACTCATTTGAACGTAAACGAACTTTTTTTCCCAACGAAGGAATGAGTGAGTAAGGGATGACGCGGCACATGTACTCCACGACGTCAAAATCATTGCCATACAACAGTGGGAGACAAGTGTGTTGGATAAAAATAACTATACATTATGATTAACGTGAAAAATAGACCAACCCATACGCTATACCAGGTTAAACCACAATTTCCCATTTCGAACCAACTTAATAGTGTGCGTGTCCCAACTCACCTTCTCAGTCGTCGTATTCATCACCACATCACCACTGTCCACTTCCAGTTGCGAGCCCAGCACACCGTCAGTTACTCCGCTCCTCGTGGCGTTCGTTGACCCTCCTCTAGACATCTCACCAGATCGGGGTCTGACCATACACACTATGGCCATGGGGGCCGTGTTCTTGGGGATGGTGTTTATCACGAACGACAGGTGAAGCATTAGCAGCATCATGGACCTCCAGGAGAACACACGTGCGACCAGAGACTGGCAGGAGCTCACGGCTTTACTTCGACTCGTGACATGTCCGTGGTGGTCAAGATTTGGGGTGACGTGTTGCTTTGTGCCCGTAATGTTGCGTTTATCAGACGCGTTGCCTTTAAATGGGTTCCCAAACTTGGAGCTGTTCTGTGTTACTTTTATGTTAAACTGTTCTTCCTGGTAACCCAAATTTGTGGCAGACAATGTGTCCATCTGTGAATCAGCCGTGTGCCCCTCCACAAGACTGCTAATATGTGTTGTAGCAATGGCCATTGAGTTTTCTGGCTTGCGTTCAGCGAAACCTTCATCATTTGATGCGGGGCCCTCGCCGATATTGCTCAAACTTGAGGTCCGATTTCGTAGGCCTGAGAGGTTATTAACATCTCCCTCAGTTCCATTTGACGCTCCTAAATCTAAACGAACTTTGAAAAAATCTTTACCTCGATCGCCGATAGCCACTCCATCGTTAATTTCATCGCCGATAGCCACTCCATCGTTAATTTCATCGCCGATAGCCATTCCATCGTTAACTTCATCACCGATAACCATTTTCTTATCAATCTTCATGTTGATTGAGGCGGCAGCCCCACCATTATTGTGCAATTTCTAAATTAGCGACACTTTCTGCCACTGCTTTACCTTGAGCGTCTTCGTCTCCTCAATCACCGCTGAAAAATTTGCTCGGCATCAACTTTCATTTTTTTTTTTAAATTAATTTTGTGTGTAACTGATCTTAAATGAATTTTATAAAGATTTGCAATCATCATCCATTTGCGCACGTCTGAAAGTCATAAACCTTCGCCAGAATTTACGCCGTCTCTGTACGCGTAAAGTAGAAGTTGTAGGATTCAACGGTTATGTTTCCACATGATGTCACGGTGACTTAATTATATTAAGCCCATCATGATGATGCAAGTTAATGTATTGGACACGGTCGACAAAAAGTTCATCTGAACGTGTTCTTGAATAAATTATGTAAACACATGGATACGTTTAATAGATCTAAGCTCGAGGTGGATCTTACAATTGAAAATAATGATAAATGCTGCCAAATTATTAAATTTGAAGAAATTATCATAATTTTTTTTATGAAAAAAAAAAAAAAAATTAAATTTAAGATTTTATTGACCATAAAATGCTTAGCCAAGAATAATAAAATGTGAATGTTATCATATTGTAACTAAAACGTTGAACGCAACGTATCTGTTTTTTAATTTTTTTTATTTTTGTTTTTTTTTTTTAATTTTTTTTTTATTTTTGTGCCTCCCCCCCCCCCTGCTCCCCCCCCCCCCTTGCGGGCGCCCATGCTTAAATGCATGCTTTTTTTCCATGTAACTTTGATAGATGGTCAGTTCATGCATTGCCACTACCATTGTTTGGCGTGTTATTTCTAGTATGTATAATAAAAACCGATATTTTAACTTTTGCTGAAGAATCATTTAGACGCATTTCTTTGAATTTGCAAATACCTTTTTTCAGAGCCTCGTTCAGATACAAGATTGAAAAAAAAAAAATCAAAGCCTTAATTATAATCTGTGATACAAACCGATGTCCCTTATCAGTAATCAGGATTAATGGATTGGCTAATATATGTGATAAATATCAGGATTAATGGATTGGCTAATATCTGTGATAAATATCAGGATTAATGGATTGGCTAATGTCTGTGATAAATATCAGGATTAATGGATTGGCTCATGTCTGTGATAAATATCAGGATTAATGGATTGGCTAATGTCTGTGATAAATATCAGGATTAATGGATTGGCTAATATCTGTGATAAATAGCCTCATGAGAGTCGGTTTTTTATGTTCTATGTGATAAAAAGAAAATTAATCATACATCTCAGATTATTACATGTAACTTCAAACCTGTTATTAAGAATATGCTTTTTTCCCCCCCCCTCCCTTTCCAGACTGCAAAGACATGGAGTACTCTGCTGTGATGGCAAGACAATGCGCTTACCCTCTCGACCTACCGACAACGTCCGTGCGAAAACAATTTGAAGCAGCTCGGTCATTAGAAACTAAGCGAAACGTGAGAGATTAGTGTGGCCAACAAAGACACATAGGTTACACGCTGATTCTTGAGATTGACTCTGTTCACAGATTTGAACCGGGTGAACATGGCGCAATTTAAAAGGATGCATCATTGTCCGAACCTACTTTGAACGTTGTACGCCCAGGTGATACACTAACATTAAAGTCCGAAACAAGATACTGTGAGGCTTGTTCATTGTTACTTTGGAGCATTAAAAGAAAAAACTATGACAGCGTGCTAAATACACGGGTGATAAGCGTACAATAGTATTGTTTTTTAAAATGGAGAATAACCATGGTAACCAGGTGAAATCTGCATCAAAAGAAATCTTGAAGCTGAAGGCGTTTTGGGAACCGGCTGACGATGCCCACGCGGACCATAAATCAGTTAGTTTTCAACAACGGAAAGCTTTCAGTAGAATTCCCGGACCTCTTAAAGCACAGACCGAGTCTTCTCGGAAAAGCGTTCACTCTGGTCAACCTTTCCAGCATTCTGTGCCAGGCCGACCTAAATCGACACCCGGCTTCGGTGATTACTTTGACTCGACCGAAGGATCCAAAAAAGTCAGGGTCTCCTTCATTAGAGCCAGCCAGCAAGATTTGAAACGTCAGCTGCTTTCAGGTCAGGACATCTCCCACAGGCAGTGCGTCTCCTCTCTTGACCATGTCGCGAGGGAAAAGAAACTGATCGAGTCTCGCGGGTACGTCCAGGCTGAAAAATCGGACGAGTTGGATTTTTCGGAGAAGGTCAAAGCGTTTAGAGCGTTATTCAAAACAAAACACGGGATACACAACAGTGGTGTCAGAAACCACATCAATGATGTCTCCAGGATACACAACAGTGGTGTCAGAAACTACATCAATGATGTCTCCAACGAACAGCTTCAGAGGGTTAAGGGTTTGGGTGACGTTCAGGATGGGGGAAACCACGTCAAGTTCACGGCCAGATCTCGCAGATATAATTACAGCGAGCCAGTTGGTGACGTCATGGGGGAGCGCCCATTAGATAACCAGAGGAAGATATGTGTCGACGAGAATGGCTCATTGAGACTGACTAATACGGAATCACGTGATTCGGAGGAGCGGGAGTGGTCTGGGCATAGAAACAGTTCAAGAGAGGAAGTCCCCGGAGTATATACAACTACGGTGAACAGCGATGCAGATTCTGAAGATCCAAGTCACGTGACGCTCCTGGCCGAGATGAGGGTGATAAACAACAGCTCTGACCTACGAATGCTCGGCAAACATTCCAAGGGGATGTCCCTCCTAAGGTCATCTCAGGCCGATGAACTTCAGGTGACGTGCGAAGAAGATAGGCGCCGAAGGACAATAGGAGATAACGCAGAGGTCCAACGATAGCTATCGCCACTGGTCGGTCCCGCCAACGTCAACGGAAATTCATTCAGTGAAAATTCAGAAGTTGAGACGCTGAGAACCACTGATCGCTTCCAGCGAGAGCGAACGGGGGGGGGGGGGGGGAAGAGTCTCAATCATGTCATAAAACCCCAACCCATAAATAACTCTGATGGTTTGAGATTAACTTAAGACCCTGCTAATGCAATGTGGAAATTCATGCAGTGAAAATTCAGAAGTTGAGACGCTGAGAACCACTGATCGCTTCCAGCGAGAGCGAACGGGGGGGGGGAGTAAGAGTCTCAATCATGTCATAAAACACCAACCCATAAATAACTCTGATGGTTTGAGATTAACTTCAGACCCTGCTAATGCAATGGGCCACATCCTAAATGACACACTATCTCGTGAATCCTCACGTGCACCTTATGGGCCTCTTGGTGATAAAAACTCAGCAGTTTTGAACCTATCCCATTCAAGTAAAATACCAATCGATTTTGTTAAAAAGCCTGGTGAAATTTTAGAGACTAAATCAGAGCAAAAGGGAAATGATAAGTTGGAAAGTTATCCGGATAAGAAATGTTCACCTCCTGTAAAGCAGTCTTCGTCATCAAACTCTTATACGGAGCAATTTGAAATCAACGGGGGCATTTCTCTCAAGGGTCCCATGAGACCAAACTCAGTTGTTCCGTCATCAGCTGCGGGTGAACTGGAAGTTCAAGTTCTTCCAGAGAGGTTGCAGTCTGCCACGCCAACTTCCGGAAGGATGCACAAACAAGGGAATCTGTTTTCCGAGCGAAGTGGAGAGGGCGTGCCTCCTCCAGGGGCGTCGTTACGGGCGCACTTAAACTACCTCGGTGCTAGTTTATCCAGTCTTTCGAGTAAGCTGAACAGTGACCTGAGATCAGAAAGGTATTCAGTGCTGGGTTCAGGGAGTAGAACAAGAAGCACGAGTGATTTGAATAACGCAATCCAATAAGTCGGGAAAAGACGGGTCACGGGCTCTGTATGTGCTCTGTAAATATGCAGATTTTCAATTTGGTGTCGCCCCCTTAAGACGGTGTTACCCGGTGCGGTCCGCACCCCCCTAGCTACGCCACTGAATGAAGGGCACCTGAAAAAAAATCTCTAAAACAAAACTAAAAACGATAAGTTTCAGGGGAAGGGGCTCCAAAAATAACGTGAAGGATCTGGTGCATGCAACTATACAATAATCATAAGCCATCAACACTAGCTTTGCACTTGAACAATCATTGAATTGATTGTCCAACATAAACATGACTACAAATCATTTTAACTTTTTTTTTTTTTAAAGTCTTTTTCATAATGTCATTTAGTAAACATATTTAATGGTCGAAGATTGAAAGAAAGAAGAAAAAAATTAAAGAAGAGCTCAATAAACTCGAAGGATGGCTGTAAAGCATAAATACTAACGTGTTCCTAAATGCACATTAAATTATTCAATCCAAGTCATTGACATAGCATGCCGAAAAAAAAACAACGGGAAATTTACATACAACTATGAAACAAAACAACTGGCCAACTAACAACGATACAAAAACAAAAAAATTCAACACGTTACTGTCACATCATGTGCTTATTTAGTTCAATAGTTTCCTGTTTGTAGCATTGGTTTAGTGAGGCATAGTTCCGCCCAGGGTTGGGCCAAGTTGGGCCAAGTTGGGCCAACATCCATGAAAAAAAAAATAAATTCTGCAGTCGGCCGAAAATGCCGCCCTACCATATAAATCACCGGCACTTCCACCCCTTCCACCCCTCGCCTTTCACCATCCACACCTTCCACTCTCGAACCCTCCACTCACGCCCGTTCCACCCACGACCAATGTTCCCTTTAAGTATGTGTTTGTGGGCTATAAAATTTTGCTCACAAAAAATTGATGCAAAAATTGTAAAACTTTGCACACAACTGTATGATTTTGCAGACGAACCAGCAAGCCTTAGAGGGAACATTGCCCACGACCCTTCCTCCCCTTCTCTTTTCACCTCCTCCCCTTCCACCTCCTCCCCTTCCACCTCCTCCCCTTCCACCTCCTCCCCTCCCACCTCCTCCCCCTGCACCTCCTCCCC